GGAAGCCTCTTCACAGACCCTTCCTTCCTTCACCCTCTTGATCCCACCATGAGGTGAAACTGTTTGTCACCGCTGACTTTAGACATAACAATGTTGTTGCAGTAATCATCTTTAATTGCAACTGAGGATGCTCATATCTGTTTCCCAACCCTGGATAATAAGAGACTGCCTCTCTCCATTTTTGTCTTCCCTGGAGAGTTGAGCACAAAGCCTGGAAGTAACTAGGTGCTCAGTAAATGTGTAATGAAAGGATGATTGAATGTAACTGAAACCGACTTTTGTTGTGTACAGAATTCTCAGAGACACTTCAAAGTAAATAGTATGGGCCAACTTTGGTGTCTCTTGCCTGGCCGACATGAGCTTTGGGGCCCAGCCGAGTAGACTCTTGCCAGGGCAATTTTGTGATAGTCTTGCCAAGACAATTCTGCATGCAAGAGGAAGTGTGGCAGGACTAGGGGCTCACTGGTGGGTGCCTGGCAATCTGGCCTCTCAGGCAGTGAGGCCACTAAGCACCCTTGAGGTGGTCAGGGCCTGAGCAGAAGGGCTGCAGAGACTGCACATGCCCCTTGAATCCCAGGCCTATTTCCCGGAAATCTTTATCATTCACATTTGCTATTGGAGGAGGTTTACTGGCTGGAGTGAAGTACTTCAAGATAGAAAAGACAGAGAGCTAGAGAAGGAACGATAATGAAGCATCAACAAGCCTTCATTGGGGGACCATTTCTCCTCACAACATGTTTGGAGAGCCTGAAACCGACAAGGACTCCCTGGGTCGGTGGCTGCTGATTTATTCTGGTTTCAGTCATTACCCTGATATCTGTCCAGAAGAACTAGAAAAATGATTCAAGTCGTGGATGTGATAGTATTTCAAATCTGCCAAATTTAACTCTGCTTTTCATCACCAGTGACCCAGAAAGGGACACAAAAAAAGGCCATTGTAAATTATGTGAAAGAATTTTCTCCCAAATTGGTTAGCACAAAAGAGGAGATCAATCATGTGGCCAGAGCATACACAGTATATCACAGCTCTAGCCCCAAGGATGAAGATGAAGACTAAGTTAGTGAATCATACAATAATAATGTCTTTGATTGTGCCACATGGTGAGTTTCCAGATTATTTTGACCAGACCAGGAAGAATGCAGAAATTGTAGCTGGCTCAATTGCTGCACACATCAGGGCACACAGGAAAAAAGAGCTAGCCAAAACAGTGATGCTGGGCACAATATTCCCTCGTTAAAGAGGAAGGAAGCAGCCAGGCGCGGTGGCTCTCACCTGTAATGCCAGCACTTTGGGAGGCCGAGGTGGGTGGATCACCTGAAGTCAGGAATTTGAGACCAGTCTGGCCAATACGGTGAAACCCTGTCTCTACTAAAAGTACAAGTTAGCCAAGCATGGTGGTACCTATCTGTAATTCCAGCTAATCGGGAGGCCAAGGCATGAGAATCACTTGGGAGGTGGAGGTTGCAGTGAGCTGAGATTGTGCCACTACACTCCAGCCTGGGTGACTCCATCTCAAAAAAAGGAGAAAAAAAAAGAGGAAGGAAGCTTTGTCTTCCTTAGAAATATATATATTTATTTATTTATTTATTTATTTATTTATATATATATTTACACACACACACACACACACACACACACACACACACACACAGAATGGCCTTTGTACTGTTTACCATGAGAACATTTCTATTTTGAATGAGCATGTTACTCTTGGGTTCAGTCAAAATAGATTCTTGGAACTGTAAGATTACAATTCAAAGTCTCTCAAGCTGTGGTGAGACCAGAGGACCAAATCAAAATGAAGTCAGTGAAGCCTGGAGGAAGCCCATGGAAGGACACAGCACAGGGAGGCACAGCCAGCGCATCTCCCATGATGAATAGGCTCTCCCAGTAGCTTTGTCAGCTCGCCGGTGTTTTGCACCCTTGCTCATGCAGGCCGTAGGACTGAATTTCACAGAAAAGAATAATTTTCATAGTGCTTTGGCTTCTTTCTTCTTGAGTTCTTTGCTCTTCTGAGTTCTTAGTGGCTGATAACAGTCAGATTAAGCTCTCTGCCATTCAGAGTTGATCTTTATTCTTGAAAATTTTGTCTTCCTTGTTAATGAATATCACTGTCAAGTTTGCTCTACTGCCCTATCAGCAGGTGCTGATTTGACGAATGAAGATGAAATCTATTGTTTGGGGAAGATAAGTTAGTTTTATTTCTCTAGGGGGCTTTTATGCGATTTTTTTGCTAAATGATGTGCTAGGTTTTCAATGCCATGCCAAATGGAAATGAAAGGATATTGATCATGAGTGTGACATAGAGTACTTTTCTGCATATACTGAGTTGCACGCCTTGTAAAATAAAAGTGTATTGGGTTTTTCAATAAATAAATAAAATAACCTGTATTGAGAGCCTATTTTATCACTCCCTGGGTGACTTCACTCATTTTTTTTTTTTTTTTTTTTTTTTTTTTTTTGAGACGGAGTTTCGCTCTTGTTACCCAGGCTGGAGTGCAATGGCGCGATCTCGGCTCACCGCAACCTCCGCCTCCTGGGTTCAGGCAATTCTCCTGCCTCAGCCTCCTGAGTAGCTGGGATTACAGGCAAGCGCCACCATGCCCAGCTAATTTTTTGTATTTTTAGTAGAGACGGGGTTTCACCATGTTGACCGGGATGGTCTCGATCTCTTGACCTCGTGATCCACCCGCCTCGGCCTCCCAAGGTGCTGGGATTACAGGCTTGAGCCACCGCGCCCGGCCTAGACTTCACTCATTCTTACATTTAAGATGCTGATGGTTTCCCAGAATTTATATATTTCAGCATTTTCCAACCAGGACATTTGAAAGATGTGGCCCAGCATGGTGACTTATGCCTGTAAGCCCAGCACTTTGGAAGTCTGAGGAGACAGGATCACCTGAGGTCAGTTTGAGACCAGCCTGGCCAACATGGTGAAAGCCCTTCTCTACTAAAAATAAAAAAATAATAAAATACTCAGGTGTGGTGGCAGATGCCTGTAGTCCCAGCTACTCAGGAGGCTGAGGCAAGAGAAGTGCTTGAAACCAGAAGGCCAAAGTTGCAACGAGCTGAGCTCATGCAATTGCACTCCAGCCTTGGTGACAAGAGCAAAACTACATCTCAAAAATAAAAAATAATTGCCAACATTTGCAACTTGGAAGAATTCACTGTTTTAAAAAATCTGGATTTCAGCTTCTTTTGAAAAAATGTACAATTTCACCATGGTGCAGTGGCAGGAAGTGGAGGGCATATTCCTGCATGGCAAAATTCCTTTGAGTTTGGAGCTCCAAGGAGGTTCACTCTTCAGACCAGGTCATGAGCTTTCAGTTCACATTCTTTTTTTTTTTTTTTTTTTTTTTTTTTTGAGACTGAGTTTCACTCTTGTTACCCAGGCTGGAGTGCAATGGCACGATCTCGGCTCACCGCAACCTCCGCCTCCTGGGTTCAAGCAATTCTCCTGCCTCAGCTTCCTGAGTAGCTGGGATTACAGGCAAGCGCCACCATGCCCAGCTAATCTTTTGTATTTTTTAGTAGAGGCGGGGTTTCACCATGTTGACCAGGATGGTCTCGATCTCTCGACCTCGTGATCCACCCGCCTCGGCCTCCCAAAGTGCTGGGATTACAGGCTTGAGCCACCGCGCCCGGCCCTCAGTTCACATTCTTTCCGTGATGGACACAAACTGTCTGGGCCTGCTTACATTTCTCTTTTTTTTTTTCTTTTTTGAGATGGAGTTTCGCTCTTGTTGCCCAGGCTGTAACGCGGCTCACTGTAACCTCTGCCTCCTGGGTTTAAGCGATTCTGCTGCCTCAGCCTCCCGAGGAGCTGGGATTACAGGGCATGCGTCACCACGCCCGGCTAATTTTTTTTTTTTCTTCCCCCGAGTAGAGACGGGGTTTCTCCACATTGATTAGGCTGGTCTCGAACTCGCAGTCTCAGCGGTGTCCACCCGCCTCAGCCTCACCAAAGTGCTGGGATTACTGGCGTGAGCCACCGCGCCTGGCTGAATCTCTAATTGTTAGATTTGGTTGCTTAGTACAAGCTTTGGAGAGTGGGTGTGAGGCACTCCGGTTAAACAGGCTGCCGGGAAGACCGCAACTCTTGTAGGCCGCCTGAATGGGCGGCTTCACTCCTTCCATGCACCACCACCATGTGCTGCTGACTTCAAAATGTTTATGCTTTGCATAGAAAAAGGTCACTCAGAGATGTCATCATTTCTTTGCTTGGGAAGGTTCATTAACTCTAGTAATAGTTATAAATAAAGGTACTTTATTCCGCCACATTTAGAATACGACACTTTGGGTGGTTGAATTTGTCTTTGATATGGTTTACTTGAAGGAGGATTGCCAATGTACAGAAGGGTTCTAGGAAGCATAGATTTATTCCACCATATGAATAATGCCAGAAGTTATTTTTCTTTTTCTTTCTTTTTTTTTTTTTTTTTTTTTTTTTTTTTGAGACGGAGTTTCGCTCTTGTTACCCAGGCTGGAGTGCAATGGCGCGATCTCGGCTCACCGCAACCTCCGCCTCCTGGGTTCAAGCAATTCTCCTGCCTCAGCCTCCCGAGTAGCTGGGATTACAGGCACGCACAACCATGCCCAGCTAACTTTTTGTATTTTTAGTAGAGACGGGGTTTCACCATGTTGACCAGGATGGTCTTGATCTCTTGACCTCGTGATCCACCCGCCTCGGCCTCCCAAAGTGCTGGGATTACAGGCTTGAGCCACCGCGCCCAGCCGACACTTCTTAGTAAGAGTTTAGTCTCCTAAGCAACTAAACTATTGTAGACGGACCCACTGCTGGCCTGGTCCACACAGGTGCATCCATATGGAATCGGCTCAACAGCCATAGTTCCTGAGCTTTTTTCCCCCACTGCAGGACCAAGACCCAAGCCCCGCCGCTGTGACCGAGAACGTTGCATTGCGCCTGCGCGCAAAACCTCTGCGCAAAAAGAGAAAGTAACCCCTTAATTAGGCCTCGGGAGGACGGAAGCCACTGCACAAGTCTGCGCAGGCGCGCCCCGCTAACGAACAGTCGTCAATGCGCAGGCGCCCACCTTAGTTGGTCTTCTCGTCCTGTAAACAGAGGGGCTTGCCGCCGAGGTGTTCTGCTTCCGGGTCACGCTTTGACTGCGGCTTTCCACACCCCGCTCAGCCTAGCAATTCGGTGAGTGCGGTTCTTGGTGCGGGAAGGTCTACAGCCAGGTTTCCCAACCCAGGGTACCACGCCCAATAACGCTTCCTCCATTCCCCGGTCGAAGTGCTTTCTAGCTCTCGAGGCTGAGACTTCGCTCCCGGCCTTAGAAGGCAGATCCAGGAGGGAATTGTTCCCCTTTTGAGGCCCACCACCCAACACAAATTGCGTGATTCTCTTTCCGTAGCAGACTTGCAGGGAGTGCTGCGATCTGTTGGGAGCCTGTGCGTTGAAACCGCACGTCCTTGCATTCCATGCCCTTGCCCCCCACCTCCTAGCCTCAGCAAGACAGCTGCCGCGAGCTCTCCCGCAGCAGGTGTGGTGGGATTAGGGGCGCTGCAGGATCAGCCAGCGTTCTCCCGGGGCGGGAGGGGGCGGGGAAGCCGAGGCCTCCCTCGCGTTAGAGTTGCTGTGTCTTCTTTTTTCTGCCTTTTTTTTTTTTTTTTTTTTTAAGCTTCTCAATAAATGCCCTTTGGTGTTTTCTCTGGATCCCGTAGCAAAAGAAAACGAGGGAGACAGGGCTTTCAGCTCTAGCAGAGCTGAAAAAGGGGGCCAAACCGTACACGGGCTGCCGTCTGGTGAGATCGAATTTAGATTTCTGACTGTTCCTGACAGTGAATGCAGTTAATTTGCCCTGAAATTTCATTCCTTTACCGGAAGCTTTCAGGCAGCAGCAGACCACTGACTATACTCTTAGGAGTTTTAGCCCGGAGTCAAGAGCGCCCCAAAAATGACTGCAGTGTTTTGTTGCATCGGATTACGTTGGCCCAGAAACGGTTAATGAAACCACTTTATTTATTTTAATTTTTTGAATTTTTTTTGTACAGACGGTTAGGTGTGGGGGTCACCTCACCATGTTGCCCAGGCTGGTTCTGAACTTACAGGTTCAAGAGCTCCTCCTGCCTTGGCCTCCCAAAGTGCTGGGATTACAGGCAACACAACCACTTTGGTCCAAGCCTACTGCTTTAGATGCTGTGTCTTCCACTCCCATTCTTGGAATTGCAACTCAAATGCACCTCTGTCTTTTTTTTTCCTTTTTCCTTGAAACGAAAAAAAAATATAAGATACAGACCCTTGTCTCACATACGGCAACTCTAAACTGTCTAGAAAATGCCATGGTCATATAAACAAGTGTGTGAGCCTATTCATGCCTGATAACAGGGGAGATAAATACACAATTTGAATTATCGATACGTATAAATATTTTTAACTTGTATTCTATTGGTTAATAGAATTTACATCTAATAAACCGGGCGCGGTGGCTCAAGCCTGTAATCCCAGCACTTTGGGAGGCCGAGGCGGGCGGATCACAAGGTCAAGAGATTGAGACCATCCTGGTCAACATGGTGAAACCCCGTCTCTACTGAAAACACAAAAAATTAGCTGGGCATGGTGGGGCGTGCATGTAATCCCAGCTACTCGGGAGGCTGAGGCAGGAGAATTGCCTGAACCCAGGAGGCGGAGGTTGCGGTGAGCCGAGATCGCGCCATTGCACTCCAGCCTGGGTAACAAGAGCGAAACTCTGTCTCAAAAAAAAAAAAAAAAAAAAAAAAAAAAAGAATTTACATCTAATATAAATGGCTACTGATTCACAGAAAAGAAACTATCAGAATTTATAGTATATAATACATAAAGGGACACTCCATCACAAAAAGCAAAATTAATTGGCCAGGCTCACATCTGTAATCCCAGCACTTTGGGAAGCCGAGGTGGGTGGATCACCTGAAGTCAGGAGTTGGAGACCAGTCTGGCCAACATGGTGAAACCTTGTCTCTACTAAAAATACGAAAATTAGCCAGGCGTGGTGGTGCACACCTGTAAATCCCAGCTACTCAGGAGGCTGAATCAAGAGAATCACTTGAGCCTGGGAGGCGGAGACTGCAGTGAGCCAAGATTGCGCCACTGCACCCCAGCCTGGGTGACAGAGTGAGACTCAAAAAAAAAAAAAATGTAAAAAATGGTATGTTATTATTTTGAGGTGGAGTCTTTCTCTTTCGCCTCAACGGAGTGTAGTGATGCCATCTCTGCTCACTGCAACCGCTGCCTCCCAGGTTCAAGCAATTCTCCTGCCTCAGCCTCCCAAGTGACTGGGACTACAGGTGCATGCCATCACACCTGGCTAATTTTTTTGTATTTTTAGTAGAGATGGGGTTTTACCATGTTGGTCAGGCTAGTCTCAAACTGCTGACCTCAAGTGATCCGCCCACCTTGGCCTCCCAAAGTGCCGGGATTACAGGCATGAGCCACCATACCCTGCCAAAAAATTATGTATTGTTAAATGACCAAAACAATTTCATATGCATAATGTGCTTATTTACTTCAAGTCTTAAATTAGGATCTCAAGTAATAAACTTTACATTGGCTCAACAGATATTTAGAACCTACCATGTGTCAGGTACTGTTGAAAAAATCAGTATTATTATTCCCAACGAGCTTATAATAAGGACAGAGATTTCTAAGCACTTGCACCTAGAGAGCTGATACTGTGTATTATGTTTTCTCTATAGTTTTTGATACATGTTGTTTCATAGACATGCTCTACCTTACTGGCTGTAATTTTAAATGGTCCCTAACTCTTGTCTCTTATACAGCCAAACCTTTTAAGTTGAAGTATATTGCATTATTTTCTTCTTCCATCCTAGAACTCTGTCCTATTGTGGTTTCAACATGTATTTCACCACGTCTGTTTCTCAGTTGTCACGAATAGCTAATTATTAAAAATTTTGGCTGGGCGTCGTGGCTCACAGTTTTAGAAAAATATGCAGATTTTAAAACGAGTTAAAGACGGGACGTGGTGGCTCACACCTGTACTCCCAGCACTTTGGGAGGCCGAGGCAGGTGGATCACAAGGTCAGGAGTTCAAGACCAGCCTGGCCAACATGGTGAAACCCTTTCTATACTAAAAATACAAAAAATTAACTGAGTGTGGTGGTGGGCACCTGTAATCCCAGTTACTAAGGAGGCTGAGGCAGGAGAATTGCTAGAACCCGGGAGGTGGTGGTTGCGGTGAGCCGATCGTGCCACTACGCTCCAGCCTGGGTGATGGAGCAAGACTCCACCTTAGGAAAAAAAAATTTAACTCATTTATTTTTTTGAGATGGAGTCTCACTCTGTTGCCAAGGCTGGAGTGCAGTGGTGCAATCTCAGCTCACTGCAACCTCTGCCTCCCGGTTCAAGCAATTCTGCCTCAGCCTCCGAGTAGCTGAAATTACAGGTGGACGACACCAGGCCCAGCTAATTTTTTTGTATTTTTAGTACAGATGAGCTTTCACCATGTTGGTCAGGCTGGTCTCGAACTCCTGATCTCAGGCGATCCACTGACCTCCCCCTCACAAAGTGCTAAGATATTTTTCTAAAACTGAAAGCATATTTTACTGTGAACTTTTTCTCCTAGTTTTATATAGATGACTCTAGAGTAGTTATACATTTGCTTTCCTTTCTTATTTTAGAATATTACCTCAAATATTTCCTTTTTTTCCCTCTGCTGAAGACATTTGAAAATATTTCAGATGCCTTTTCATTATTAAGATAGATCTATTTGCTCCATAGCCTTCTTCCTCTCTTTTCACAGGTAACAATCACTTCTATGCTGTTTAGTCAATCAACCAATATTTGTTAAATACCTGCCTTCTGTGAGATTCTGTGGCTGGCCTTACATGGGTGAAAAAGTAGAAGACAAAGTCCTTGCCTTCTAGTTCATTACAGTTTAGGTGGAAAAACAGTATGTACATAACTATATTTCAAGGCTCAGTGTTATAAATAACTTAATGGTGGTGCTGATCATAAAAACCATAAAAATTCAAAGAAGAAAAATAATGTTTTGTAACCTCTTCAGCCTTTCAAAAATCCTATTCCTTGCCTAGTCTTGTTTGTAAACCACACAGAGCTCCATAGGGGTCTTAGTACCTTTTAGGGAAATCTTGTGCTAGACTAGTGTAAAACATTTGTGTCCAGGTTTTTCCAACTCCCTAGGCAACTATTATAATTCACTTCCTTATGGTTATGAAAATAGTGTTAATCACTCCTTGAAATCTGCTCGTAGTATTGGGAAGGCCTCAGAGAAACACCTAACCCTAAAGACAGGCGTGCTTAGTGATATTGTGTATGCCTAAAACTTCTTTGTTTCAGGCAGTTTGGAGCATGTGAACACCTTGAACCTTGATGAGTTCCAGTATGTGGTATATTATGCAGAGCATTCAGAGCAAATACTCTCTTTCGGAACGCTTAATCCGAACAATTGCTGCCATCCGTTCCTTCCCACATGATAATGTAGAGGACCTCATCAGAGGGGTGAGTGTGCCAGTATTGACAGGAGAGTCTTTTGCGATGTGAAGTGGGAAAGCTCTATAAATCCTCATGTAAATCCTCATTGACTCAGCCCAAGATCACAAGGAGTTTTTACGTTTTGTTAAATGCATTAACATGATCATTAAATGCATTCCCCCATGTTTGCTTTGCTTCCCTTCTTCCTTTTACTTTGTGTATCTGACATTTTTCTTCATGGAGTATGTTCTCAATAACCCTAGTCTTAACGTTCTTTGTAAAATATCTGAGTATGATGCATATGTAATCCACTGAACTCAAAGTCTTCTATACATGTTTTACTAACAGAGGAGGTGAGCAAAGCAGAGGTGGTTTTTATTTTTATTTTTTGAGCCAGGGCTTCACTTTTGTCCAGGCTGGAGTGCGGTGGCGTGAAGTTGGCTCATTGCAGCCTTGACCTCCCAGGCTCAAGCGATCCTTTCACCTCAGCCCCCTCAAGTAGCTGGGACTACAGGCACATGCCACCATGTCCAGCTTTTTTTTTTTTTTTTTAAATTTTTTGTCAAGACAGGGTTTCACCATATTGCCCAGGCTGGTCTTGAATTCCTAAGCTCAAGTGATTCACCATGCCTGGACACAGAGGTGGTTTTTAAATCCTGTGACCCTTTCTTTATACCTGAGTTATAATAATTACAATGGAGAGATTTTTTACTTACATTCTATGTTAAAAGCAGCTACCACTTCTAGTTCTGTAGAGGATATCAACCCCTAAAATGCATGGTAGTTATAGTTTAAGAAAACACCTTAATTAGCTGATACTTAATCACCACTCTTCAATAATTGTTATATGACTAGTATCCTAGGTCTTTACGATCCTCTTCTATGTATTTGTCTTGATGAAGAGAAGTTAACAGAGTAATTTTTTGATCACCAGAAAATGCATCCAGATGATTACTTCTATATATTCTTTTTTAAGACTTTTAAGCTCCTCCTTTACAGCCTGGATCTCTAGAGCTGCCTCAGAGTTATTGGGCACGACTGGAGAAGGAAAAGTCATGCAGTGTTAGCTTATTCTCAGCAAAAGTGATGTCGGAAGACTCCACGGTAGAGACTTTGTCATATTCTAATTCTAGCTCTGCTGCTGAGTCATTCGATCTGACTGGTATCTCCATCTCCTTTGATTTTTTTTTTTTTTTTTTTTTTTTGAGATAGAGTTTCACTCTTGTTGCCCAGGCTGGAGTACAATGGCACGATCTCAGCTCACCGCAACCTCCGTCTCCCAGGTTCAAGCGATCCTCCTGCCTCAGCCTCCTGAATAGCTGGGATTACAGGCGCCAGCCACCATGCCCGGCTAATTTTTGTATTTTTAGTAGAGGCAGGGGTTTCACCATGTTGGCCAGGCTGGTCTCAAACTCCTGACGTCAGGTGACCTGCCCGCCTCAGCCTCTCAGAGTGCTGGGATTATAGATGTGAGCCACCGCGTCCACCCTCTCCTTTGATTTTGAATAGAAGCACTAGCAAAAGCTAGGTGGTAAAGAATGCTGATACTAAGAGGCCACTTTGAAGATGTTTATAAGCAAGGAAAAATAGTGTTAAGATGATGCTACTGTTAGTGATGGTCATTTGTTGAATGGCCAAAAGAGCATGCCAGTTCTAGCCTCAGTCTGACAGACTCAGTTTCCTACTTTTTCAGAACATGGTGGCCATAGAAAATGGATTGTTGGTCCAGCTTTCCTGTCTGATGATAAGGTTTCCAGTGCTTTGACACATAAGATTATGTCTTCAGTGACGTCCAGATGACCATCTGGCAGGCTACCTTGTGGAGAAACTTAGTAACTTGATCTAAGGAATTAAGAGTTGCTTTCCTTCATCTTCAGTGTACTCCTTTGGTTTGGACATTGGCATTATATTGTTTAATTAATAGAAAAGGAAACAAGGAACTAGCAGTGTATCTATAAAATAGTCAGAGTTACAACTCTATCCCCTGGACTCAGTTCTGAATCCTGTCCTGCTGAGCGACCTAGAGCTGAGCACACTGACCGAAGTTCGCTTCTGCCCACAGGGAGCAGATGTGAACTGCACCCATGGCACTCTGAAGCCCTTGCACTGTGCCTGTATGGTGTCAGATGCTGACTGTGTGGAGTTACTTCTGGAAAAAGGAGCCGAGGTAATGCTTTTTAACACAGTCACATTAATGATTCACTAAAATTTGAGCTTCATGCTTTCTTAGAATTTCTCCCCATCACTCCTCCATCTCTTCCCTCCTCCAGTCTGAACTTCTAACTCAAGATAATGGTGGCATAGTCAATATTAAGGAAAATGTAACAGTAAATATATAAAATGATCTAGGGATTTCATTCCTTTGCCTTTCTGTCCCTGCCCTCCCGCTTGCTCCCATCTTTTGGTGCTGGTCCTCGGCCTTTCTTTTCTTCTCTTTAACTTAAGCTGTTGCTGGCCATCACTTCAGGACGCTTACCTTGTAGGGGTTGTTTTTATTTCCATTTAATCTTCTCATTGCCTATTGTGTGTCCAGGAGAGGTAAATACAGAGATCCCTCAACTCTGATTAAAGTACCCCTAAAAGTACTTAAAGTACTTAAGAAGTAGTACTTAAAAAGGTTGAGCTTACTTAAGTGTTTCAGGGGTTTTTTATTATTATTATTTATTGGCATTAGTAAGGGAATATGCTATTCAGAAATTTGAAGAAAAAAATTACAGGTGATGCTGTCAGCAAGCCAGCCACTTTTCCAGCACTGGAAGATTTGTGCTTTTCCCATCACATGCTTTCATTTGGGTTCTCTTGTGAACCCACAGCATATTTTTGCAAAGGTCTGACTCATATTCTAATATTTTGAACTTCTCTGTACGGTTAAAGAACATAGCAAAAGCTATGATTTTCAGTCTGGTTGCTACATTAGCCACAGGGTACAGAAAGGGGTAAGATAAGTAAAACAATCCAAAACTCTGTGTAGTCAAGCAGCTTTCCAGTAAATGTCTTTCAGAGCAGTTACAAGGACTTAAGACTTCCTCTATTCTTGCCTTACCCCTTACTTTATGGTAGAGATTCTAATGAATAGATAAATGAACATTGCAGCAAAAACCTAAGTAATACAGACCCAAGTAATACTGGTCAATGCACATAATAGTGTTGACCGTTTAAGGACAGTTCTTTTCCTTTTTGCTCCTCCATTTTCATCTTTATCCCTGTGATTCCCTGGGAGTTGCTTGTTGACCCTCTTGTGCAGAGCACTGCATAGCAAAGGTAGTGGGTGACCATGCAAGCTTCCTGGCTGCCGTCCTGTCTTCCTCAGTAGTCTGTCTGCTGTAATAGGTCCTCGCTTTTTACAGGTGAATGCCCTGGATGGGTATAACCGAACAGCCCTCCACTATGCAGCAGAGAAAGATGAGGCTTGTGTGGAGGTCCTGCTGGAGTATGGTGCAAACCCCAATGCTTTGGATGGCAACAGAGATACCCCACTTCATTGGGCAGCCTTTAAGAACAATGCTGAGTGTGTGCGGGCTCTCCTAGAGAGTGGGGCTTCTGTCAATGCCCTGGATTACAACAATGATACACCACTCAGCTGGGCTGCCATGAAGGGAAATCTTGAGAGTGTCAGCATCCTTCTGGATTATGGCGCAGAGGTCAGAGTCATCAACCTGATAGGCCAGACACCCATCTCCCGCCTGGTGGCTCTGCTAGTCAGGGGACTTGGAACAGAGAAAGAGGACTCTTGCTTTGAGCTTCTCCACAGAGCTGTTGGACATTTTGAGTTGAGGAAAAATGGTACCATGCCACGGGAGGTGGCCAGAGACCAGCAGCTGTGTGAAAAACTGACTGTTCTGTGCTCAGCTCCAGGAACTCTAAAAACACTCGCTCGCTATGCTGTGCGCCATAGCCTGGGACTCCAGTATCTGCCGGATGCAGTGAAGGGCCTTCCACTGCCAGCTTCCTTGAAGGAATACCTGTTACTTTTAGAATAGCCCGGAGAAGATGTTTGCACCATCATGCAGGCAACTCTGGGTGAGGTTATACCTGCAGTACACTTTGTCAGAGAAAACAGAAAAACAGTTGTTCCTGTTGTGTGGTTTATAGATTTTGAAGCAACATGTCACAGTAGTAACCTCCATACCACCTCCCCTCCCCAAACTGAACAGCCAAACAAAAAATTCCCTTCCTTTTATTTTCTGTTTATTGCTTACTTGGCTTTTTATATTGCCCTTTGCAAAAGAAGAGGTCTCCCTCAATCCTCCCCTTAGGAGCGAAGTCAGCAGTGCAACTAAATTTCTCTAGGAAGATGGAAAGTACTTAAAGCATATGTGTGTGGTTTTCCTTTGGGGACATGGTTAATGGTCCAGAAGAATCCCCTCTAGAAAGCATTTTAGGTCAAGTGCAGTGGCTCATGCCTATAATCAATCCCAGCACTTTGGGAGGCTGAGGTGGGCAGATCACCTGAGGTCAGCAGTTTGAGACCAGCCTGATCAATACGATGAAACCCTGTCTCTACTAAAAATACAAAAACTAGCTGGGTGTGGTGACAGGCACCTGTAATCCCAGCTACCCGGGAGGCCGAGAGAGTAGAATCACTTGAACCCAGGAGGCAGAGGCTGCAGTGAGCTGAGATTGCGCCATTGCAGTCTAGCCTGGACAACAAGAGCGAAACTCCATCTCAAAAAAAAAAGAAAAATCTGTGAAGAAGTTTAAGAAAAATCACCATTTCAGCTAACACAATTGCATCCCAAAGATGAAGATAGTGTAACCACAAATGGTGCAGATTCAGAAATGGGTTGGATGACATCCCTAGTGTGCCATGTCCTTGGGCATTCGGAAGGGACTGGACCTCTTTCCCCTCATCGGAGGAAACAGCAGTCTTTGCCTCTTTCTCATGGTTGTGCCCAAGGGCCACAGTAGCTCTGAAATAACATAGCTCTAATAACAGTAATACATAGCTGTATTACTGCTATTTCAGAGATTATCTTGCTGCTTTCCTTATAGAAGAGAAAGCAGGTTCTAAGCAGTCCTCAGAACTCCTGAAGTCCTCCTGAGAACTTAGCTTCTAATGCAGCTCTTTCTCTTCTTGAGAGCCAGTCTGTTCTAATGGGCTTTGCAGGCAGTTCCTACGCCTACGGTGTTTGTTCCAGCAGGGAGGAGTTACGGGCTGGGCTGCCTTTTCCCATGGGTCTTCATTCCCAATGGAAAGTTCACTCTGCTTGCAATTTGGAATTACTTTTCTTTCAGTTGTTCTGGAAACTTTGCTTTTTACTGATTTACACAATACATTGGTGGGAGGGTAGAGTTGGGATGGGGGTGGAAAACGCATAGAAGAGCTTCTTTTGTGATGGGCCATCTACCCAAAAGAGATCTGCTTTAGTGAACAATACTCTTTCATTTCATGTTGCTATACTAGATCAAGTTGTTATAGATTTTAGATGACTTGTATGCAAATTTGAAAAACTTTTTTTTAAAAGTTGATTGGGAACTACAAACAATGAATGGAATCTACTGACACAGCTAATTGGAAAACAGATGTCTGCTTTTGTCCTATTACTGCTGGTGTTTAAAAAACACCATTTAAAAATTGAAGAATAAATAAATCGTTCTAAAAGCAAGTTTGGCAATTTCTACTTTTCCTACTTTTCTACAGCCTCCCTTAGAAAAAGTTCATTTACTGTCTGGCTCTTCAATATAACTTTGCATTCCAACTTTTCTCCCGTTAGCAACAGTGATTCACTTATCTTTTTGGCTCTGGGGAAATAGCATGCAGCATCACAAGTTTTTGTTTTGAGACGGCATCACTCTTGCCCAGGCTGGAGTGCAGTTCCGCCTCCTGGGTTCAAGCAATTCTCCTGCCTCAGCCTCCCAAATAGCTGGGACTAGAGGCACATGCCACCATGCCCAGCTAATTTTTTTTTTTTTTTTTTTTTTAGTAGAGACAGGGTTTCACTGTGTTAGCGAGGATGGTCTCAATCTCCTGACCTCATGATCTGCCTGCCTCGGCCTCCCAAAGCCTTGGGATTACAGGCATGAGCCACCACACCCAGCTGGTTTTTTTTTTTTTTTTTTTTTTAAAGTGGTCTTGACTTTGCCTTTTTTTCCAGATAGTATCATCATTCTCATTTTTTTACTTTTTACAGAGTGACATATTCCCTCTGATTAGCTTTACCCCCAGCCATCCTTCCCTCTTCATTTTCTCAAGGAAACAGCTCTAAGATTAAAGATAGTAAAGAGATCCTATAAATCAATGGCAATTAGCATTTAAACTGTTCTGAATGAATGCCTGAAGTTCCCCTTTCACTTCATTTTCATAGGCCTTATGGCTTTGGGGATTTGATATGGCATGGTAAGGAAGCAGAGGCATGGGGTATGAGGATAAGGTTTGAAGTCAGAACCGAGTTTGAGTTCTACTTGAATAATATCGAAGGAGACATTATGTAATCAATCACCTTGAGCTCCAGTGTCCTCCTTTCTGAAGTCAGGCAGTCACCATTCCCTTCCAAAAGCTATTTTGAGGATTCAATGATGAAATGCCTACCACAGTGCTTGTAATCCAAGCACTCTGGAAGCCAAGGTGGGTGGATCACCTAAGGTCGGGAGTTCAAGACCAGCCTGACCAACATGATAAAACCCCATCTTAAAAAAAAAAAAGAACTGTGCAAAGAGTATATGGCTGCCTTAATCCCTCACTCCAGCAACAAACCTTCTCAGTCACTATTTAGAACTGTTTTTAGAGTTTGGCAGTGACAATTTTTTGCACTGCCAGCAAGTAGTATACTAGAGATAATCCCTTCCTCCACCCCCTGTGATATCCTGAATGCCTTTACTGCTTCATCAGGCAAGTGTCTGACACATGGGGCTGACAGTATTACATTCCACTTGGGAAGATAACGGAGAAGCAAAAGCACAGTGACCAGCTGGCATTTATTAGTGTAGTTACAATTTGTCACCGTAGTAAAAGTAGTAGAGGAACTAGGGCTCTTTGTTATCACAAAGAAATAAATAAAGCTTATTTTTCGGAAAATTCTAGCTGAGTAAGTGATATCTAGCAGTAGCACTAGAGGTGCCCAGCCTTGTGTGACAGATGAAGCTGGGGTAGAAGTCATATTAAATTCTACCTAAAAGGAGCTTCCATCCAGTGCCCCCTCTTCCAGCTCCTGGCCAGAACTGATCATGGCCGCAAGGTACAGAATAAAAGGAAACCTAATGGAAAAAAATAGCTAAAACACTGACAAGATGTGGACTTATCAGGGGGTGAGCTGACCATGATCAGGTAGTCTGTTCCCCTCACTCCAGAGAGGTTTAGACACCAGCTTCCCCAGACCGCTTCCGACTGATGTGCTCCAGGTGGGCATGGTCTGAGGTGTCCAAATCAATCTCGTACTTGGCCAGGATTTTAAGGATGGGCCTCAGTTTCAGCCACCACTGTTCCTTGGGGATCCGATGCCTACAGAGGAATGAGGTAGATGATGATAGAGTCTTTTAGCTCCCCAGTCAACTTCTACCAAAGGTTTATAGGAAGAAGTTAGACAGAAGAGTTTGGGTTTAGGACATATGTATCAGATCTGAAATGGGTAAGAATACAGGTATTACTTCTTAAAAAAAAAAAAAGGATTAAAGACAGTGAACAGGTTGCGGATAGTAGAGCTTGAAACCACCAGGGAGAGAACCACTCCAGAAAGCAAATGTACTCACTCAAAATCTGTCTGGTCCTTCAGTTCAGTCACTGGTTGGAAGACCAGAGCCCTCTTACGCATCCCCAGAACACAGCCAGAGTCTGGAGTATTGGCAAAAATCCGCCCTGCAATAAGGAATGGTCAGTCAGCTTCTATACTGGGAAACCAGCCTCTATAGAAGGCGCTCGCTCTCTCTCAGTCCACCTACCATTACGGTAACTCTCTTTGATTTTCCCAGACATCCAGTTCATAGCCTTGGCGCCCATCTTAGTGGCAAAATTCCTATCAAATGGAGTTGGGCTCCCACCCTGGAGAAAGAAACATAAAAATTACAGAGGGAAGGACTCTAATGAAGTGACAGAGATATCTAGATACACAGAGAAAAAGGAAAGATGGGCCTCAGGTTTACATCCCAAAACAGGAATCCAGAAGTCAAACTATGAAAGGGTGTCCCGAGGCAGCGCCAGGATCCAAAGCAAGCTGGCCCAGCACATTTGGCCATTTATCAGATAGAAGAGTAACTAATTAAAGAAAGTGATTGGCCTCACAATCCCCTCTTTTATCTCCGTAGCTGCCAAATCACATTTTAGTCTTATTGGCCAACGGGTCAGTTGCTTGCCCTTCTTCAGCCTAGCAGCTTTTGCTGGTCACTGTCATTGATGATATAAAAGTGTTTTTTTTTTTGTGGCCCAATCTGCCTGCCCTTGGTAGCACTTCAGAATATAAAACATCACACAGATTTCCTTTGAACTAAGAGGAAGCAGGTAGGAAAGTGGGAATGTTTGGTGACATTTTTGTTTCAACTGGGAGTGAGAGGGAGGTGCTGCTGGCATCTAGTGGATAGAGACCAGGGATGCTGCACAACTGTCCTACAGTGCATAAACAGCTACCCCTGACAGATTATCATCCAGCCCCACAAGGCAAAGCTGCCAAGGTTGAAAAACCCTGCCCTAAATGAAAAGGATGGCCCATATAATCTCTAAGGTTATTTCCAGGATGAAGATGTTTTGATTCTATGACTGTAAGAGACTGCAGGCCCATGCTCTATGATGGCACTGACAGCCTCCTCCAGAAGACTGGAAAAGGCCAGTGGAAGCCTCAGCAGCTGCTGGCAGATATGGCTGTCTGATGAAGGGCATGACTAGGGTGTCTTTCCTACCTGCTGCATGTGACCAAGCACATTCTTCCTGCTGTCGAAGATTCCCTTTCCCTCCTCGGAGTACAGGTTGAAAATGAAGTCAGTGGTATAGTTCTCATTGCACTTTTCATTCCTGCCAGGTGGAGACCAAAAGCCTATGACTCTGTAGTTGTCTCCCCAACCTCCCCTTTCTGCCTTTGTTCTTTCCTTTCAATTTTTATCTCCTCCCAGGGTTCAAGGGATAGGCTGGCCCCCTCCCTTTACATCTACAGATTCCTCAGGGTGTCCCAACCATTGCCATTCTATAGGTTTGAGCCAAAGCTTATTTTCCTTCTTCACTTAGGAACAAACCATGGATGAGGTACCTTAACACCAAGCCCCTTTTCACAGTTGTTTTCATCTTTTGCACCAGATGTTCAACATTTGCCTGAAAAAGAAAGAATAAATCCTAAGCCTAGTTGGGAGTGAGTAATGTTGGGTATAATTCTCTCTTCTTCCACGCCAGAAAGGAAAGAGAGACGTGGAAGAGAGTTGTTTATAATCCTGGACCTGAACTGTGCCTAATTCCTTTAAGAAGCTCACTGTGGACTGAAATTGAAACAAGGACTCCAAATGAGACAGAACAGGAAGAGGGAGCATTAGAGACAGCTGCAGTAACTGTCAATGTTCAGCCCCTCACTTTCTCCAGTCTCCCTTTCCAAGCCTTCTGGTTCCCCTTCCCTCAGAGGGCTGACTTGTGGTCACGGTGTCAGTCTTCAAGTGGGTTGCTTGTCTGCAAAGCAGTGATTCATCTGGAAGGGACATGTTCTTTCATTTGAGCTTTGAGTTGAGCCAGAGGAGACAGACTCCCACCCTC